TCGATCCGAGCGTCGCGCTGAGCCTTCGCACCCACTTCTACGATGACCTCATCCGCCACCCGAACATGGAGGAGGCGATCCGTGAGCTCGGTGCGGCTAACAACTCGGAGGCCTTCTACGTGGCGGAGCGGCGGGTTGGGGGCCTGCGCGTGCGCCGCAATGGCGCACGCGGCCGCTTCGACCTGAAGCCATTCGACCGGCGCGACGCGGGGGTTCTTGTGCAGTCGCTCGGCCTCGACTCTCTGTTCGAGCCCTTCCTTCTTCCGCCGCCGCTCCGCACGCTCCTCGCTTCCGTTGTGCAGGCGCCAACGGGCTGGCGCGTAAAAAATGCTGGAGCGCTGACCACCTTTCCGCACGCACACACGGGGCAGTGGCACCGCGATATCGGAGACGGCCTCTTCGGGAACGAGAGCCTAGACCTGAGCCTGCCGGACTACTACTTTGCCGCTCTGTGCCCGCTGGACGAGACGACGGTCGAGCAGGGCTCCGAGCTGCTCCTTGGCTCGCACACCGTCCTCGCGGGCGGACTGGGCGAGGCGATCTCAGCAGGGCGCGTGCGCCGCGTGATAGCTGCTGCAAAGCCAGGCGACGTCCTCTTCTTCAGCGGCAAGGTCGTGCACCGCGGCATGCCCAATCCGACCGAGTCCACGCGCTCGCTGGTGTACACGGTCTATACTGCAAAGTGGTTCGAGCAGGGCCGTGACGCGTCGCGCGAAATGTACACCGGCTGAGAGGAGGCTCGACTGCGCATAAGTGCGGTCTTGGTCTCTCTTGGAGCCACAGAGCAGATGGCGCTAGCCAGAAACTCCGCCCTCGTCTCGCGTGTGTCTCGTCCGGTTAAGGCAGGCGTGAGAGTGAGAGGTGTTCCCCGCGACTGCAGCGCACCGCGGCCGCGCCGTCGCACCGGCGCGCGTGTGCCCCTCTCGTCGTCGCTCACGTGATGCTCCAAACCGCGGTTTGTCTCCTCTTCCTAGCGAGCCGTACACGTCTTCCACACCATCCACGCCACACCTCCTGACCAGTGCGGGGCTCGGTCGTGAGTCGTGTGCGGTGTGGCGAAGCGTGGCGTGTGAAACGGCTGCGCCCTGCAGTGACCCCGCTTGCGGCAGCGTCCGAAAATGTATCTTGCTGGTCCTCTCCTCGTTTCTCACGCGTCCTTTCTGACAGGATTACACAAAATCCGCGTAGGCGACTGGGGCCGCCTTCTCGGCAGCGCGCTCGCGGCGCGCTGTCTACTCAGAGCCTACTCAGGCTAACGTAATCCCTGTTTGAGCGGCCTGCGAGGCCGAGGTCCCCCCACTGGGGTCCCGCAAAGATCTAGGCTAAACGTAGTCCCTGTTTGAGCGGCGCAGCGGGCCGAGGTCCCCACTGGGGTAGCTCACAAGACACACAGCCAGCTGGCTGCCACACACCCTGAGTTGGCGTTCACATAACTCAAGGCCGCGCCCCCCCCCTGTCGCCTCCCCCAGCCAAGGTGCCGAAGGAACAAACAAGGGCACAACAACACAACAGACGACAGGGGCGAGCGCGTGAGGCTAGAGCAGGCTTGCTCGTCCTCTAGCAATCTCCGCCGACCGCGAAAGAAGAATTCTCAGAAATTTCTTTTTGGGTCTGTTTCGGCTAAGTCGTTTTGTACCGGATTTCAATGTTAGTGGCAAAACCGCGGAACCGAAAATGGCGTTTAATTTCGCGCCCCTGCTGTCCGCCGCCTGCGGCGGCGCTCCGCGCCGCTTGGGGCGCCTGCGGCGCCCCTGGGCGCGCTGCGCGCGCCTGTTTTGGGGGGGCTACCAGCACCGAAAAATTGCCCTTTTTCGGACGGGAGCAACCTGTGGCACCTCTCACCTCTCCAATGTCGCTGATCGCGGACATTCAAGTGGTGCCCAGCCCCACTGGCACCGAGGCGGACTGCTTCAAGCACGTCAACGCCGCCATCGCCGTGATCACAGCCTCGGGACTCAAGCACTCGGTCGGCGCCCTCGGCACCACAGTCGAGGGACGCGCGGACGCTGTTTGGAGGGTGGCGCGCGAGGCGTTTGACGCGTGCCTGAAGAGCGGCGCTGAGAAGGAGCTCATGTACCTCAAGCTCTACCGCGGCGACCACACCGTTTCAGAGCTCGAGGAGAGCGGCGCAGCAGCGGCGGCGGCGGCGCGGCCGGTTGCGCGCCCGGATCATCGGCCGGCGGCGGCGTCCCGCGCGGCAGTCGCCAACCCGAACCCCGACCGCGCGTCTCGCGACCGCACCTCCGCCTCGCGCCCCGCCTCTGGGATGAGGCCGCCCGGCTCGGGCTTCTCGCTCGACCACCGCGCCGTG